GTGCAATCCGTGCACCGTGCAAGGGCTTTGCAAGACTGTGAGAATACGCCTATAGTGTCATATATCCTAGCTTTAAATGCTGTGGTGGCAGGACAACATGTTCAGCTTTAACCAATGGGACGTTTAAAACGATTTCCGGCCTATTAAATGTGGCTCTTGGGATGGCCATACTTTTCGTCAAATAAAAAAAAAAACACTGTCAAGCAAACATTTTTGAGTTGTCTTTTTTTCGCTATTAAATTTAGTTTTGCAATCAATTTACGACTAGTATGGCTTTCTTATAAAATAGTGCGTAAAAACCTCATCAAAATTTAAAAAAAGGCGAAAAAAAGGAAAAAATAAAAATGCGTTTGCTTGGTAAATATACACAGATCTCTTAAGGTTTCTTTATTCACATATATATCGTTGGAAAGGCCGAAGTCTCTTCTTTTTAAACCCTGCAATAAACGAAAACCCGTTTTTTTAGTGGTAAATCAAGATTTTGGGTGTGTTTGGCAAATTTCATATTTCGATTCTGGTTTTAATCGAAAAGATCAACCAGAAAATATACATAACTTCCCAATTATATATTGGTGGCGCACAGTGTAATTTTAGATACATTCGGAACGTAGCCAAATAACTTATCGGCAATTTTTTTCTAAATTTCCAAGGCATTTCAGCGCGTTTTCCAGTGTGGGAATTCCAATAGCCTCCCTCCTTTGTAAAGGGGCATAAACATTGGTTAAAACAGAGGTTTGACTTCAACTGCTCGGGAGAAATTCCATTCAAGGCCATTTTAATTCGATAGATTGTGTTTGTCCAAAAGTAGATATGCTACCGAAGGAAGAGGTAGTTCACCAACTATCGAAAAAGTATGAACAGAAAAATACATACTTATCAGAGCTGTAAAACTGTGAAATCATTTGAAATTAAAAATCATCAATTTTATGTTATTATGTTTTCATTGAATTTTTCCTTGTTGGGGAATGTGGCTTATAATTTTCCAATTCTACATTCACTCAAAGTAGATACGATTGCACACATTAACATATTCAAAGAAAGATTGAAAAAACTGAATGACGAAACATTAACTTTTAACACTGAATAAGCATTCAGATGAATGCAGCTTTTGCTATGTGTGCACACATTCATTCAGTACCAATCAATCGATATAAATATTCTAAATACACAAAACCCACTGAAAAATACGCAAGGTTGAATTTTATTGAACAGATTTCAAAATTTCAACACGAAAAATAGTTTATTGAGCGTTATCATTAATTTGTTTCACTTAAATTTGTACAAATATTTATAATAAATGAAAATATTAATTAGAGAAATATTTTTCTGCCATGAATGCCATTATGAAAAATGTTAATTATTAACGATTTTTACATCTCTGTTTCGAAAATTGTCAGCTTTCTAAATAAGTATTACCAATGTACCAATAAAAGGTATGTGCAGAAATTATTACATATGTACATACCTATATATCTACGTTAAAATAAGTAAACAAATTTAAGCGCTTCTACTTCTAACTTTAGATATATACATTTTATTATTTATTAATAAAAATTCTTAATACAAGTTTCTTCGTACTTTTTTCTTCGCTATTGGGTCAAGCATTTAATAAAGATTCTAAAACCTGATTTGTGGGTTTGTGGTGGTTTCTACCATTTACAATAAGTTGCAAATTATCAACTTTTCTCAAAAAAAGATTTAACAATTCTCTGTGCAAACCCCTTTTTATTTTAGTGTGGTATAATCGAAAAAAAAATGTGGTAGATTTGAATAAGATGTGGTAGATTTTCCAATTCATATTTTATTGGGTATACATATCGCTCACCGTCGTCAAAAGAAGCACAACTCAAAAATTAAATCGGGAAATATAATTGCTAGTGGATCGTACAGATTCCACGCAATTGGTGCAAAAACAAGTATAACATTAGTTTTCTAGTTAGAGAATATAATCATGAAGAAAAGAATATTTTATTTGTATGCAAAAAAATCGACCAAATTATTTTCCCATTGCATAATACTTTAGCAAATATAAATAGGCGTATTTTTGAAATATTAGAAAGTTAAGGCACAGATATATTTAAAGCAAAATTTATGATGTACCTTTTTAAAAATCTATTGATTAATTTGAATTTGATAATTGAATTAATTTTTATATTTCGAATTACAATTGAGTTGAAATTCTAGAGTTATGGGAAAATTGTAAACAAATGTTCTGTCTAAAAATGTGGTAGATTTTAAGCCTTGTGTGGTAGATGTAGTAGACACCCAAATTTAAAAAAAAAATACGTGGTTGACCTACCACACATGTGGTAGAAGCTTGCACACTGTTCTAAACGTATGTTTTGAGCAAATTGATGTTTAAAGCTAGCAATATATCCCATGTCCATTTTCCAAAACTATAATAATAAACATGGCAGTTTTTTAGCAATTTGGTTCCTGTAATTAAGGAAATATTGTAGTTTTGGCATTTTTCGAAATTACCATTTTACGAGAGGGACCAGGTTATTGTTCGACTTTTGTATTTTCAATACCCTGCTGCCCTAGATAAAAAAACCCTCGTACAGAATTTGGTTGAGATATCTCAACTTTTGCTAGAGTTATCGTGTATGCAAAGAAACGGGCATGGACTAATCATCTTCCCTTTTTATTCTGAGCATTTTTATGTATATATACATACATAAGTAGTACATACGAACATAAATGTATGTATCCATATCGATTAATTTTGGTTGTTCCAAATATACGTTATTTGAAAAAAAGTTATGGTACCCTCTTGCAGAACTGCGTTGTAAATATGTTTAGGAAACATTTAAATTAATAGTTAATTAAAAAAGTTGCTCAAAGTAATGGAACTCCTCAACCCCTTTAAAAAAAACAGGAACCCTTCTGAAATTTTGTTTTGAAAGTTTTCATATTTGAAAACTGAAAAAAATCACAGTATACAGCAAACCAGCCACTGACAATATGCTTATTTGAAAACTAATACATGAAATGTTGTGAATATATAGGATTTTTTTGTCATTAACCCATAGGCAACAACTGGTGCAAAAGTACCTACAAATGTTTGTTGATATATTTGAAATGTAAATTTGAACAGCAAAATTCGTAAAACAAATTATAATAAAACAAAAATATTGTTAATTACTACGTGGGAGGTGGGCGTGGTTATTGGCAGATTTCGACAAAATTTAACACTAACCTAAATTATACCAAAGGCAACTTCGACACCGACTTTCGTTAAAATAACTAAATTTTGTTCGAGTTAGCGTGTTTACAAACAGAGAGGGCTGAACTAGTTCATCTCGTCAACCTGAATATATGTGTATATACGTACATACATTTTATACGGTTAACAAACGCGCTCGCTTATCTGCATAAACCGTCTTTACTTGCATTAATTCATGCATTATCCTCTTTCAAATGTTAATAATCGGCTGAACAAATACACACAAATTACGGGCATTTGGAAATTGGAGAGTTGTACCATAAGCTAAGTAATACTTCTTTTACCGCCTAATCGATGGGACCATTTTACAAAGTCAGCCCACCATTATTCACTCAAAGTTGTGTTCAGAACACGGTTTACTTATGTAGGAACTGCATCCGGTCATAATTGCTAACGCTTCATTTGCTTGGAATTTCGTGTTTCTCGTTATTTCATTTTAT